TGTCTTCTTAGATCAGAAACTAACGTTAAACCCCACGCCAATCACATATCAACCAAGTTGGCAGATCAATAGGAATAATAAATAGGATAAAGTTTTATCTCCCAAAAAAATGTTTAAATCTTCTTTATAACGCCATCTGTCTGCTCCATGTATCATACTGCAACGTCATTTGGGCTTACCCATCAACTACCATGTCTGTAAAAGTTCTGATGAAAAGAGCAATGAGGATCATCACGCTTTCTCGAAAAGATGCTCACACACCTCAACTGTTCAAATTAACTAATAATTTAGATTTTGATAAATTAAATTTATATTTTACAGCCAATTTTGTCAACTTGCAAACAAACTTCCTTCTGTTTTCAATAATTATTTTATTCCGATAAATAATTCCAGACGTCAATATAATATATTAGCAAATAAATCAAAAACATTCATACTTTTTTCTCATATCATTTGTAAAGGGCCAAGAATTTGGAATGCTATTTTGAAACATGGTTTTCCATTCAATAAAATTAATGAAGCAAATTTTAAAAATAAATTGAAAATTTATTTGTTGAATAATGACATTGAATGTTAACTGTTGCTAATCGCTAAACGAGCGGATGTATTTGTACAATTTTTATTTATTTATTTTATTATCTATCGCTTTAAATTTTTAATTATTATATTGATTTCTTGATTGAGGAATTGGTTGATTGCTTTATTGATTGATCTCATTGGAAAAGTCGCATCTAATTTACTCACTTGAAAAAATCCACAGACATCAGTATATAGTTTTTATATATTTATTTACTGTGAGATCTACTATTCACGTCGTTCTATATGTTGCTTAAATATATAGATAACTATGTAATGTCTATCCCGTGTTTTTCTGGATAGATACCAAACATTGTCATATATAAACTGTGAACCATCGTACTAACAACTAACACCTGTTTTGCTAACATAGTTGAGTTCGTTAATTTACTAACAACTAACATCTAGCATGCCTCTCATAGATCATTTGGAGAAAATTTTTATTATTTGCTGAAAAACTTTTGTACGAACATAGAACATTTCTGTTTAGGTGGCCATACTAGATGAATTTTTTATAAATTCTATTATGGTCATCCTGCTTTCTTTTAATTTTTAATTTTGAGAAGCAAATAAAATTTCGTTTCGTTTCGTTTCGTTTCGTATGTATGTATGTATGTATGTATGCATGTATGCATGAATGTGTGCATGTGTATGTATGTATGTATTTGTATTTGTTAATGTGTTTTTTTTCATTAATTGTCAACATTTATATTATGTGATGTCTTCTGTATTTTAGTAATAGCACTGTGTTTATTTCAATTCTAACAAATTTTGGCAGCAGTAAACCCTTTCTATGTACAAATGTTTGAAAAGTTGGAATAAGTTGGAATAACATATAACATCGAATCCCCAATTTGAACCAGCCATTAAAACTCGAACCTTTAAAAATCCGACAACAATAAATTGAAAGTTCAGCTAATCTTTACCGCCAAGAAAATATTTGGATTTAAAATTTTAAAAATTTAATCGGCCAGTTTTAAATTTTTTAAACATTTTAAAAAATGTAAGAAAATAGATATTCTGTAGAAATTTTCAATAGTCTGGTAAACAATCCATCAGCTTATTAAAAGATATTCCATGTTTGTTAATCATTCAAAGTTAAATTTTGTAAAATTCAAAAATTTCTAAAATTAATCAGCACATTTTAATATTTTTAACCACTTTTCAAAATGTAAATCGCATGGTCAAGCGTTTGCCAAAGAAAGCTTAAATGTTTTCCAAACAGAAAGTGATCATGTTTTTATTTTGCTCAGCCAACAACTTTACTTTTAATCACGTCAAAGCCTAAATCGTAAGCTTATAAAACAAACATTTTATCACATATTTCTATATATTTTATGGGAACATTTCTAACCTAAACGCTCCCACAATGTTTAATTATTAATTTGTTATTTTATTATATTATGTCTCTTAACATACAAATGAAGATTGTTTGTAACCGGATAAATTATTATTTTTACTATTGTATGGTTTTTTTTCTAATTTTAAAGTTTTATTCAATTTATAAAACCTAATACAAATACATAATTGATAAACTTAAAAACATTTTTCGATTTATATACCTACAGTAAATAATTATTAATAATTAAAAATTGTTTCGTAATGCTATGAAATTAACAAAAAGTATAAAAACGAACTGCTACTAATGTAAAAATTTAGTTTGTTAAATTAAATTACGAACAATTGTACGAGGAATTATATATAATGTGGCAAGTTCATTTTTATCACTTGCCTAATTTTGTGATATTTTCTTGCATGTTGTAAATGGATTCTACTTCTGTCTTAAATCTTATGGTTCTGATTGTTTTTTGTAAAAGCAACTGAAAAAAAATTATTTAGTTATATTTATATATATTCCAGCTAAGTTATGTGAGAGTTCACGAGGTTGAAATGCACAAGAAGAGACACAGTGGAAAGAAACAATGATACCTAGGTGAACAAAGACAGACATAAAGAAGCATTTGCTTCAACAAATTTACTTCATGATCATCCAATAAAATGGATCTCTTCATTTAAAATACACACACTGACATATGCAAAACTGGACAGGGTATATAAACATGCCTAAACCCTGTTAACTGCACACAGACAAACATACAAACATACATACACACATGCACATACATACATGTTCATGCACACAATGTGAATAGAACAGTTCTAGCAGCATTTCAACTAATTTCTCTACATAAACAAAACGTTAACGAATAAACACGTAATATTAAAACGACTACCTATCGTAACGTGTGATAAAACATAAAACACAAACATGTTATACAAACTAATGATACAAACATGTGATATAAACTAATTTATACAAACATGTGATACAAACTCATGATACAAACATGTGATACAAACTAATGATACAAACATGTGATACAAACTAGTGATACAAACATTTGATACCAACACTTGATACAAACGCACACTATATCTTTACCTCATCAACATCTTGATACAAATGTATGTTTGTCATTCTTCCAGTCGTTAATGCCGATGCATTGGAAGGTATAATTTGCAAAACATAAAGTCTTAACACACGTGGAATGTTCTATGATGGTGTCGTCAACTTCACATTCACTTCAATTGCTTTCTAAGGTAAAACCTTGCTGCCAATATTTTGATCAACTTGAAACGTTTGGCTGAAGTGACGCGGGTGTACTAATTTAAGAATGTTAGTAATTTGTTAATTAATAAATTAAGCCTTATACATGAATTAAAAAATATACTTAATTAATTAAATAATATACTTAATTAATTAATTAGTTAATTAATTAATTAACTATTGTATAGTCCATTTTATTAACGATCAGTCTTTAAATGTGTTCATGCTCGTTGATAAGCTGCCTGATAAGGGACTGACTGTTGGCACATTTTGTCACATTCAAAGTTCAAATGTTCGATAGACATCAATAGTTTAGAACGAATGGACACTTTAAAGTCGGTTGATGTTTCTTATTTGCTGAATGTTGGGGTGAAGGAATATTAAAAAAAAACTAACTGTCATTGCAAACATTAGCACTATTCGCCACACATATTTTTTTCTCTCTTGAGTAGTTGATGTGCTTGAGGCACGTGTTGCATTTTCAAGCAGTGATCGAAACTTGCGCCACTGCACTCTCTCGACAGATTTTGATCCCGAAAACTTCTCACATCTTCAAACGTTTGGCTGGAATAAAACACATAGAAGAGCCACACACATCAGCATGTTTCAACTCGGAAGTCACGCCTCGGTGGCTCGGATATTAGCATCATTTGCTGTTAAGTGTGGCCACGCAGAGTTGCGTGGCGAATTTGTTCATTGTCGACTTCCGTGCAGTCAAAAGACCATTAAAGTCTTCGAGATCTGTTTTAAAGCCTTGCTATGCGGTTATTTGTTCACGAGTGTTGGTACGTGCGACTGCATACGTGTGTGGCGTGTTTCATCATTTGTTTCTGGTGTGTATGTGTATTGTGCCTGTGTGCGTGTGTATGCGTGTGTATGCGTTTGTGTGTGTGTGTGTTTGTGTGTGTGTTTCATCATTTGTTTCTGGCGAGTGTGAATGTGATTTTAAAGTTTTGACAGCTTACGTTTCGGTACATGTGAATGTATCGTAACTGTATATACTATTATAACACCTATTTGTAAATGGTTGTAGATGTGCATCTATGACACAAGCATGTGGCCAGGCTGTCCAATTGATGTTGATTCACTTGCTCCTATTAATTACGTTTTTAAGGCAAACTTGATTACTATTTTAAGAATGATTATTAATGACGTGGTGGCGTGTGCGTGCGTGCGTGCGTGTGCGTGGTTACAAGTTGTGCGTGTGTGCGTGTGTGTGTATGTTTGTCTGAGTTTGATTATAACTGATGTGCATGAATGTTCATAAGTGGTGTGTGTGTGTCTGTTTGTGCATTCTTATAAATGGTGTGTGTGCGTGTAAATGTTTATAAGTGATGTGTGTGTGTGTGTGTGTGTGGTGTTTATAAGTAGAGTGTGTTCATATGTAGTGTGTGTTTATAAGTAGTGTGTGTGCGTGCGCGCGTGTGTGTGGACAAAACTGTTGTATGTGTGTGTGTGTGTGTGTGTGTGTGTGTGTGTGTGTGTGTGCATGTGCATGGTTACAAAAAGTTCTGTTTGTTCGTGTACGTGTGATATTAAGTAGCGTGCGTTATTGCCTAATCAGTCGAGAAATACCGGCGCTCTCAGGAACGAATTCAATTTTATGGCAACTCTTCCCCTATAATTAAATTCCAGGCGCTTGTTTGAGTGGAGATTTTTTGAGGTAACAACAAGAGAGGTCCAATGAAAAGGTGATGTCGACGATGATAGTGATGATATGGTGGTGTTGATGGTGGTGATGATGGGGTTGATGATGGTGATGATGATGGGGTTGATGATGGTGGTGATGATGGTGGTGATGATGGGGTTGATGATGGTGGTGATGGTGGTGGTGACTAAAAACTATTTCAAATTTCAGACATCGTATCACATGACATCAAAATACATCGCATAGAAAATGTAATAGGATTTGTATATCTTCATATTATAAATAGCAGTAAGCTAGTAGTTTGGTACAATTGAAGTTGGAGCCTCATTGAAAACGAAAATGATGAAATAACTAATTTCAGATTAATTCGTTATATAGTTCCGTGGAAGACGATGATGACGTCATTGTAGAAGATGATGATGACGTCATTGTGGAAGATGATAAATTGGAATCGTTATGAGGACGGAATGATGGCGCGGTGATGATAACGCTTGCCGGATTTGGGGTGAGTGATTATCCAATATAAGATAAATAATAGTCACAGCCGTCTGGATGATAAGTTTTCGTTAGAAAATATCTAAAAGATATTTGTACTAATAATGTAGATGAAATTTATCCGAACAGTTTTTACTAGAAATGTTTACATGCACATACATGCAGTTAAATATTTCAATAACTCTATGAAGATGGTTATAGCCAGCCCTATTGTATCACTCCTTAAGAGAGTGCCATTCAACACGTGGTATGCCGCAATAAATTCATAAATATCACATCGAATTTCACCAATTCATTCCACATTCACTCCAACTGTGAATTTGTATTCAAGTTGCGTTCACAAATATTCAAGACAAGATTTCGTTAAGCCTATAACGTATCAGCTATAACATTCTACACAACAAGGTGCCTCCATATGTGAAGTGCAACATGAAAGTTGGTGATGGAATGTTATTTTTATCTTCAGTTAGGCTGCGATTTCAAAATTTTAAAAATTCAAATGAACATTGTTGAAGTCTTATTTGACCTTTTAAGAAAAAATTAACGAAATGATTTATTTTCATCATCAACAACATTATATGATAGTATGCAAGTAAAATTTATCAGAAAAATTACAGTATAACTGACAACACAGCAACTATACACTACGTCAAACTACAATGCATCACATGACATGAAAAACATCTCACCACAACGCAACGACACCACTGCGTGACCCTGCATGCTTCATAAAATGTTCAATCATGTAAACCCGCCAAATAAAATTCATATTTGAGCATCAATCTGCCTTTTATGATAGCTTCCTTTAAATTTGTTTTAATCATCATCAATGTATCTGTTGTCGTTGTCAGCAATTTCAGCAGCTCGAAGAATCACCACCACAAACATCAAACGCCACCACCAATATCATTATCACCACCATCATCATTATCACCACCACCACCATCATCATCATCATCATCACCACCATCATCATCATCGTCGTCGTTGATGTCGTCGTTGTAGTAGCCACAATAGCTTCAAACAACATCCACATTCATCATAAGTTGGAGCACTGTCGTCTTTATCATCGCTGCACTTACTTGTCGAGAAATTTGTATCATTTCATTTTTCGCCACCATCAACACTTAATTACATTAAAGTGAATAACAAACAAAAAGGGAAACGCACATACTGAATGGCGGATACAAACTGACCTGGAGTGACCAGCGGAAGCAAATGTCCATTCGAAACGAAAACTTCATCAATTTTTTTTTGATGGAGGTTCTTCTAACATTGAATTGTGATTTAAATTGTTTTTATGACGTCATCATATTTATTTAAAAAAAGTAAGAGCCACATTATCGCTACTCTGTTAACGACTTCAACAATTCCCCCAAGCAAGTCAGTTGGAGCAAACCTTGAAATGAAGAGGACGATTAACTGAAGCGCGAAGACAACAAAAACATTAATTAAAATGTTTATAGTTGAGGAGAAATTGCAATATAAAATGCACCTAAGGAAACAGCATCGTGATGAGGCAGCAGAAGAAGCGGCTTCCATCGCGATCTGAATTTTCATTTTAATGTCCCGGATGTCGAATGTCACCTTCATCGTCTGGTCTGGAGCAGGCAAGTGTACGCTAATAGTACAGCAACAACGTGACATGCCTGTGGAGAGTTACACCGGACACGCAAATTTCATCATCGTCGTCATCGTCATCATCTTCATCATCCTCATCATTATCATCATCATCATCAACAACAACAACAACAACAACATGATCATCATCATCGTTATCAACATTAACGTAAGCAGTTTCGTCATGACTGATTATCATTGTTGCATAATTAATCACATTCATCATTGGTGATTAGTTCAATTTAATGATGATGAGGTCCGTGCTAATCATTTTTTATTCAGACTCTGTCATCATTTTCATCTTCATCACAACTGTTGACATCATTCTCCTCGTAAAAATAAACTAACAATCAATTATCACAGAAGTTATCGTAACTCCTTTCTAATTTTTATCAATTTTATTTCAATTTTATTTTTATTTATTTATTCATCAAATCAAATTAAACAAAAGTAAGAGATAGAAATGATACGGAGATCAAAAACGATAAAAAAAAACCTCACAATAGACCACCGTTAAACAGAAAATAATAATACGTTTTAATGAAAATAAATAAATTAAAAAATATTAAAGCTACTGGATAATGGACTCAAATTTATATCCAAATGAAATTAAATAATGGCAAATTTATAAAATAAACAATAATGTTCATTGTTCTAACAGGCAAAAGAAATCTCTATCATCATCGTCATCTTTAACGTTTGCATATTGATAATTGTCATGACTGAATCATCGCTATCACAGCATTTTTATCATATCAACGTCATCTTCATCACAATCATCATATATCAGCAATATCATCTTCATCATTTCTACATCATCTTCTTTTTCATCATCTAATCAACAACAACATCACCATCTTCTCAGCAACATCATCATCATCTTCTCAACAACATCATCATCATCTTCTCAACAACATCATCATCATCATATCAACAACATTATCATCATCTTATCAACAACATCATCATCATCTTCTCAACAACATCATCATCATCATATCAACAACATTATCATCATCTTATCAACAACTTCACCTTCATCTTCTCCATCATAGTCGATAGCCTTACTCCAGCATCATCATTTGCACTATCGTCAGTGTTGTAATCATTTTTAATGAGATGACATCGTCATCGTCATCATCATCACCATCGTTGTTATCATCATCATCATCGTCATCGTCATCATCCCTATTAGCATCAGCACAACACGCGACATCAAATGAACGTAAATAAAAAAAATTTAAAAAAAAAAACTCCCCTTAGTCCGTCTTTTGTAATGACGCCAATTTTAAATTAAAAATTAACAATGAAAATAATTTCATGACAATCCGAAGCACAAACAATGGCACAATTACTTACATGCACACACACGCACGCACCACACAACACACACACACACACACGACAAACACACACACACGCACACACATACCACACACACACGCACACACATACCACACAATTTCACATAATTAATAATTTAATTAATTATTACGTTAAACAAAGGCAAAGACGAAACGTCCCTGTGCCTTCTCAAAACCAAGACAATTTTAAAACAATAAATTAAATAAACCTATGGGTCTATACTGAATAAAAATTTAAAATAATTAATGTTCTTATAAGTCAAATAATGTATTAAATCTTGTAAAATAAAAAAGATAATAATAAAAAAAAACAAATATAAATAAATTAATCACTCATCCTAATCAATAAATTGGCGATAATATCGATACATACTGATAAAAAAAATTGAATATATCCCAATCTCACAAATAGCCAATGTCACATCAAGTATCGTTTGCCCTCCAATCATACATAAATCTGGCATTCATAAGATAAGTATCCAACATTTTTTAAAATCATTCACATTATCAGCATTCACAACATCGACACCCAGATTGTTCCAGATACAAATTGATCTATTGATAAAGTATTGTTTCCTCAAGTTCTTATGGAATGGAAGAGCAGTCAATTTCATTTCGTGTCCTCTTGTTCGTTCCCCAGCTTTCATCATTACTGGGAGGTCACGTTGATCTTAAGCTCTAAACAAGTTATACATCATAGATACATAGATACATCATGATGAGATCCCCTCTAATGCGTCTCTATTTCAATGTTGGCAAGCTCAAAAATTTTAGACGATCTTCATATTTCATATGTTTGCAGGCCTTGATCGACTTTGTTGTTCTTTTCTGGACCCTTTCTATCACCACATATAAAATTAAAACACGTATATTAGTTTCCTTATATTTAAATAGATTAAAAATGAAGCATATGTAGCAGCACATAAAAGCACCTGCTTTAAACACAAACTAGGAGTTGAAACTTGAAACATGCGCTGCTACCTGAACGGAACCTTCCACATCAAATCAGAACATCGGCAAAACATCAGACTAATCTGAAAGAACGAAATAGGATGTATTCAACGTGTCGTGCCTTTCAATGCAAGCCTTCCATACCATTCAACCACTCAGCAAAACAACATTGTACAAACATGACCAAGCAACAACACAAACTCAATAACCTTCATCAGAACATCAATAACTAAACCAACAAATTGTTCTTGTTAACTTTATAAATTCAACAAAAAAACAACAGCAATCACAACAACAACAACATAAATAAAAACTACAAAGACTTCACAGTTTATCACATATATGTAATATACACATAAATAGTAAATACGCCTATACATACGCTTATGCATGAACACATAAAAATTTATACACATACCCATACACATATTACACAT